ACCTGTAACTAAAAATGATCATGGAAAGGCATCTTGCAATGCAGCTGGCTTCCCTGTGTTGGGACTTCTGTGGAACAGTATGGAACAGGAAGTTCTGAATTCTTAATGAGCAATTATTTACATGATTGTTTATGTTGGACTGTAAACACTGTGAGGGCAGGAACTATTCCTGTCTTGTTCATCTCTATACCCCGGCTGCCCTGGGGTTGTGCTTGGAACATTGTAAGTGCTACAATAAATATTCATTGGCTGAATGATAGGTCTGCATTAGGCAGCTCCGGGAAAAAGTGAAGGTGAAGTGGGGAAAAGAGGCATCTATCTTTCCCCCCAGTCATCTAATCTTTCTCAGTTTGAGGTCCACACTCCCAGCTCACATACTTATGATTAAGCCTTATAATCTAATTTTATGTTCTGGAATTGTTTTCCCTTTTGTGTACTTTTCCATAAATTGATATGGCCTTCTATGTTTATTTTGCAGCATTTCATTCCATATCTGTTTGCCACATTTTTTTTTACGTATTAATAACTCATGAGGACATTGCAAGCATCATATTACGTATTAATAACTCATGAGGACATTGCCAGGTCAGACCAGTTTTCATTCAGCCCTACTTTTTAAAAATATATTTTTATTGATTTCAGAGAGGAAGGAAGAGGGAGAGAGAGATAGAAACATCAATGATGAGACCCATTGATTGGCTGCCTCCTGCATGCCCCCCACTTGGGGATCAAGCCCACAACCTAGGCAATATGCCCTTGACCAGAATCGAACCTGGGACCCTTCAGCCTGTAGGCCGAGGCTCTATCCACCGAGCCAAACTGGCTAGGGATAGCCTCTCTTTCTGAAAGGACATCTAAGTATGTTTGGTGGGAAGATTTGGCATCTTTCATGCAACCCTCAAACATCAGAGATACATCTTGAGAGCCTCTAATTTATCTCATGACTTGCTTTGACTTTGCTACCAGTCAAGTTATTAAAAACCTTCAAACCATCCTCTCCATTCTTTGTTTTTACACTTTTCCCAGGGTGGGGTAGGGGAAGATACAAGTTTTAAAATACATTAGTATGGGAGGAAATTGGCTTGCCACAATAGTTCCATGCAACACTGCAAACATGCAGAAGGGAAGAATTTTGTTGCATGTTATTTCATACACTCGTTCATTGAATTTATTGAGCTCTTACTATTAACTTGGCATTTTGCCAATAGTATTATAATGTATTTCCTTTTTAAAAAATTATTGTTGAAAGTATTACAGAGGTTCCCTCCCTCCCCACCTTTGACCTTCTCCACCCTGCTCCCACCCCCCAATGTATTTCTTAAAACAATTTGTAGTATTAGTCTATAAACACTGTTCTTTATGAATTTAAGTCCCATGAATGCTGAAGTAGACCTATGATTTGTTTTTGTTTGAGAGAAGGAATATAAGCAGCACCTTTCTTTTTCTCTGTAGTCTTTGGGAAAGCAATCCAAGCTCTATCAAGAATTAGTGACGAGCTGTGGCTAGACCCATCTGAAAAAGGTGTAAGTAAGAAAGTTAACTGATAGACCATTCATTTATTAAGACAAAAGAAGTTTAAGATTCCAGTACAGATCGTATGTTAACTAGGAAATCCAGAAATTGTAATTATCCTTTTCACTGTTCAGATTTATTGTACATATCTAAATATATTTAGAACAGCGATTTTCAACCATTTTCATCTCATGGTACACATAAACTACTAAAATTTTTCGGCACACCAAAAATACATTTTTTGCTAATCCAACAAAAAATAGGTACAATTTTGATTCATTCACACTGGATGGCTATTGTGTTGGCTGTTATCATTGTTTTAAATTTGACAATCTAAGGAAAAAGAGGTCAGTGCCCCTGAATAGTCGTGTATTACATGTTTTAAAAATTCTTGCAGCACACCCATTGAAAATCATTAATTTTGAGCATAGAAAATTTTTAAATCATGCAGATAAACACAATTAATTTAAATCAGAAGTCACAAACTGGTGGTCAAGAGGCTAGATATGGCTTGTACAAGTGTTTTATGGGGATTGCACTGTATTTTTTAGAAATTGAAATTATTTTTAACAGTTAAAAATTGGGAGAGTCCACATAAAAATCTGAATTTCCTGTTTCTCTTGAAAACTCAAGAAGATCTGACAGTTTGGGGCCTGTATTCCCAAGTGGAAGTAGTTGGTTGAGACAGTTTCTCCCCTTAGAAAAGGCAAGAGATCGCCATTTTACTGTGAACTCTTTTTACTCCCTTTCATATTGCCTTCTGCCACTTTGTACATTAAAGTTAAGGCCCTGTAGGCATTTGTAATTTTACAATTTCAACATGCAAAATTTTAGATTTAATACCTATATATATTCAATATAGATATGTATACATATGTGTATGCATATGCAAATTTAATATAGTGTATAAATGCAGTCCATATAATATAATTCATAGCCATATAATGCAGTTAACCTTATTTGAACACATTTAATTGCTATATTAAACAAAATAGAATTTTTTAAATTAATCATTTAAAGAACTTTTTTTTTTCCTTAATAGCTTTTTTTTTTCTTCCCAGCTTGCTTTAAGGTCTGTGAATTCTTGTCGCTCAGCATACGGATGTGTCCTCTTCTCTCCTGTGTTTTTCCAACATTATCAATGGTCAACCTCAGTAGATATGAAAAATGGCACAAAATCAAATTTAAATTGCAAATTGGGAATTAAGGTAAATATAAGTGGCCCTGGTTGTCTCTTATATTGTGGAAATATTTGGTATATCAGACAGAACATATATTCTGTACTTAATACTTGGTTTAAATGGCAGGTAGGGCAAATCTATTCATTTATGAATATGCATACTCTTGTTTGTTTTTAAACTAATTAAACAATCATATTGAGTATATACTGTCCCATAATATATTTGTATTACAGTCACTTCTGCCCATCTTTAGATGTCTGAATTCCCTCGAAAGAAATGTAGAGGTGTGCAAAATATTCACCAGATCTGATAAGTGCAAAGTAGTCATTCAATTATTCTGCAGACATGGTAGGTATTATTAAAACTAATGTATTGTGTGTTTCTTGTTAATATTTTTATTTTTAGAATATTCAGACTGCATGTCAAGAGTTCCCATTACATTATTGCTTAGAATTTGTGTAGTTTTATGGTAGGACAGTTGGAAGTACTTGAAAAATATTATCTTATTTGTCTCTGTAGAAGTATTGTGAGATGATTGGTATTATTTCTTGTCAGTGACACAAGCTTTGCCTGCATAAACCAATTTTTTTTAATATATATTTTATTGATTTTTTTACAGAGAGGAAGGGAGAGAGACAGAGAGTTAGAAACATCGATCAGCTGCCTCCTGCACATCTCCCACTGGGGACGTGCCCGCAACCAAGGTACACGCCCCTGACCGGAACCGAACCCGGGACCCTTCAGTCTGCAGGCCGACGCTCCATCCACTGAGCCAAACCAGTTTCGGCCCAATTTTTAATTTAAACAATTGGTTGTTCTCAAATTAATTGGCTGCTTGACATTCTGTAAGAATGCCTTGGCAACAGTGTTCCTTGGTAAAAACAAAAAGAGAATAATTCCTGCTCTAGCCAGTTTGCTCAGTGGATAGAGCATTGGCCTGCAGACCAAAGGGTCTGGGGTTCGATTCTGGTCAAGGGCACTTACCTTGGTTGCAGGCTCCTTCCCAACCCCGGTCCTGGTCAGGGCTTGTGCAGGAGGCAATCAATCAATGTGTTTCTCTCTGTCTTTCCCTCTCTCTTCCACTATCCCTAAAAAAATCAATGGAAAAATATCCTCAGGTGAGGATTAACAAACAAACAAAATAATATTTCCCTCTAGGCTGAAAGAAGCATGGTAACTGGCTCAAGGTCACAGAACTAGTAAGTCGTAGAGCCTGGATTTAAGTCCTGCCCCACAATAGTAGAAGCAAAACCTTCACTCATTCTCTCTGCCACACCAAGCTATAAAACACATTTCCTGCCTGCCAGCTTTGTGTGGTCAATATTCAAATGTTGTACTCATAGGACTTTTACATGCTTGAGTTGTATATCCTGTTGATTAACAGCATGGGCTCCGGAGGCCATAAGGCAGCGGTTCTCAACCTGTGGGTCACGACCCCTTTGGGGGTCAAATGACCCTCAGACCATCGGAAAACACATACATAATTATATATTGTTTTGTGAGTAATCACTATGCTTTAATTATGTTCAATTTGTAACAATGAAATTGGGGACCACCACAATATGAGGAACTGTATTAAAGCGTCGCAGCATTAGGAAGGTTGAGAACCACTGCCATAAGGTCTGGGGTAAAACTCCTGCTCTGCCCCTTCCTTGCTGAGACCTTGGGCATATTATTTTACATCCCTGTGTCTCAGTTTCTCAATATATAAATTGGGGATAATGTTAGTACCAGCTTCCTAGGGTTTTTGTGAAGATTCAATGAGTTTTCTAGGAAGTTATAGTTCTAAACTGTTTAAAAGAAGGCCTGGTCCCTGGCCAGGTAGTTCAGTTGGTAGAGTGTTGTACTGATGTGCCAAGGTTGTGGGGTGAATCCCCAGTCAGGGCACATACAAGAATCAACCAATTAATGCATAAATAAGTGTAACAACAAATCTCTCTCCCTCTCTTAAAAATTGATCAATTAAAAACATTTTTTAAAATCTTGTACTTATGACATTGATCCAAATCTTTTTTGTTAGTAGGTACTCAGTAAATATTTATGAAATTATTAAATGTTGCTGTTACTACTTAAGTAAAAAAATAAGTTGAGAAATGTTATCTTTAGTAAATCCTTTTGATTCACACAGCAACATTATTATGCTGTAGAAAGTTAAAGCCCACTGGATTTTATTGCATGGGCTCTATATTTCAACTTAGATTCAAATTCTAACTGTACAGTTAAGGTTCCACTTGATGTCTTTGGCAGGTGAAAAAACATATAACTGAAACCAATTTTACCATAGGCTCGTTGGTATAAACAAAATTTAAGTTCCTATGGCATCTCATCAAGTTATAATGAAATGACTTTGAATGAAAAACATTATTCTAGGACCTGCTGTATTTGCTCAAAAGGTATATAGACTTGCCTGGCTGAGTGTCGACCTATGAACCAGGAGATCGGGTTGCACACTTGATCCCTGGTATGGGGCGTGCAGGAGGCAGTCACTCAGTGATTCTCATTATTGATGTTTCTATCTCTCTCTGCCTCTTCATTCCTCTCTGGAATAAATTTAAAAATGTATATTTTTAAAAAGCATAGCCTTGAAAAGTCATTTAGCCTCACTGAGTTATTGTTTCCTCTTCTGAGATTAAGTGCCTGCCCTATAGGGATATTGTGTGGGTCAGAGGTGATGTATGTAAAATGTATACCTCAGTTCCTGGCACCTAGGGCCATAGCCATTACTGCTACACATTTTTCTCAGAGGAAAAGAATTCACAGGCTAGGTGTTCAGTTTTATATTCCAAAGTCCCATTCAGAAATATCAGGCCTGGATGGCAGATACTGAATAATAGATAGCTGAGCTGTAGTGGGCAATCACTATTTTACACACAATTTAAGAAATTATCTGTATTTCAAAAGCATGTGGGAATTCTTTACTGCCTGCTTGGTGAGATGGTCTGACATATTGCCTGGTGTCCACTAGGGAGCGATAAACACGTTCATTAAGGAATAGTGGTTCTCCTTGCTGTGTGCACCTGCCAGATATTAAATATAACTTTACTTATTTTAATTTGGCTGTGAAACTTAAAATTTTCTTAATATTTTAATTTTGAACTTAAAGTTAACAGGTTGTTTATTCTTTTGAAGGTATTAAAAAGACTCACAATGTGTGTTTTCAAGAAAGTCAGCCTTTGCAAGTTATTTTTGAAAAGAATACGTGTAGTAATACACTAATGATTCAGCCAAGGTAATGAGTTCTCTGTTGATTCTTTTTCTGAAAATAGTATGGTTACAGAGTAAAGAATTAATGTCCTAGAGCTTTTAAATAAGTCACTTTTTTGTTTTAAAACTAACACTGGACTTGGAGAAATCACCATATAGGATCAAGAGGAAATCTTGATAAAGATAATAGTGTATCAGTGATTTTCAACCTTTTTCATCCCACAGCACACATAAACTAATTACTAGAGTATTAGTTTTTGGTTTGAATCACATAAAAAAATATATGTTTTGCCCTGATCGGTTTGGCTCAGTGGATAGAACATTGGCCTGCGGACTGAAGGGTCCCAGTTTCTATTCTGGTCAAGGGCATGTACCTTGGTTTCGGGCACATCCCCAGTAGGAGGTGTGCAGGAGGCCGCTGATCGATATTTCGCTCCCATCGATGTTTCTAACTCTCTATCCTTCCTTCCTCTCTATAAAAAATTAATAAAGTGTATTTTAAAAAATATATATGTTTTGCTGATTTAACAAACAAAAAAGGCATAATTTTGACTCATTCACGCCAGACAACTATTGTTGTGTTGGCTGTTGTCATTTTTTTAAAGATACATTTTTATTGATTTCAGAGAGAAAGGGAGAGGGAGATAGAAACATCAATGATGAGAGAAAATCATTGATCGGCTGCCTCCTGCACACACACTACCGAGGATCAAGCCCACAACCCTGGGCATGTGCCCTTGCCGGAATCAAACCGAGGACCCTTCAGTCCACAGGCTGAAGCTCTGTCCACTGAGCCAAAACTGGCAAAGGCTGTTGTCATTTTAAAAAAATATATTTTTATTGATTTTAGAGAGGGAGGGAGAGAACTGTTGTCATTTTTTAAAATTTGACCATCTAAGGGAAAAGAGGTCAGTGCCCCTGACTAAATAATCATGTATTGCATGTCTTAAAAATTCTTGTGGCACACTGGTTGAAAATTACTGTAATTGCCTAATGGTAGCAATAATAATTTAGTGGCCAAGAATATTCTAAAAATATTCCATCAGTAGCTTTCTTCATCAAATGTTACCAGGAGAAAAATATATTCTCTAATATTTTGCATTTACATGGTGCCTTCTGTCTGAGTCTTAAAACACACAGCATAAGAAAATGTCAACATTTTTTATATGAACTGATTTTATCCTTAAGTATTTCCAATTTTTTCCTCTAGAGAATGAGTCAATGTACTCAATTTTTCAGTTAAGCCATAACATTAAACATTAGTTACTTTGTAAGTCAAAATATATTTTATTCTTGTTGTTTTTTAAATTACCAAAGAAATACATGTTCTCGAAATACATCTAAAATTTATAGACGATTGCAAAGATTAAAAAATGAAAATCTTTCTCCTCTACCTGCCCTTTATTCCACTGGCAATGATAATATCTATTAATAATTTGGTGTATATCATTCTAGCTCTCCTTTTTATAGCTATTTTGTTAAATTTATAGCCAATCTCTCTGTAATTCTCCCTATAATTATTCTGATCTCTTTTTCCCACCTCTCAAATTTATATCACATACTTCATTATGCATAGTTCTTTATAATATATTATACATAGTATTTTCAAAGAAAATGTCCCACTATTATTTTTGTTTGGCAACTTGTTTTTTTCAGTTTCTATGTCAGTTCACCTAAATCTATCTTATTATTTTTAATGACTATATAATTTTTCATTGTATGACTGATTGGTAATTTACTTATCCATTATCCTACAATACGATAGTCTCCCCTCCCCACAGTTGATTCCTAAAACTGCAGATAGTACCCAACCCTACATATATTTTTTTCCTCTGAATACAGACCTATGATAGTTTAACTTATAAATTAGTCACAGTAAGAGATTAATAACTAATAAAATAGAACAGTTATAACAATATACTGTAATAATGTTATATGAATGTGGTGACTTGCTCGGGTCTTCCTATAGACTTAATGCTTTCTGGTGCATTATGTTATCATCAGTCAGAACATGTTTTCTGCCCATGTCGTCCACCCACAAATTCAATGCCTTTTCCATCTTAACTAAGCACTACCACACCCACTGTGGCTGTAACTTTTGCAGTTCGAGGTACAACAGTAAGACTAGCAGGAATTTCTTTTCCTTCTTTACAACTTCATAGGTATAAGATTTGTTCTCACCATAGATCTTAGCAACTTCAGCATATGACTTTTTTTCTTTCCTTATTAAGTTAAGGAGAACTTTCATCTTTTCCCTTAAAGGAAGCACTTTTTGGCTTCTCTTTGGTATATCTGAATTGTCAGCATCACTACTCTTGCGATTTGGGGATATTAATAAGTAAAATAAGCATTGCAGCACTTCGACAGGCTAGCTGATGATAACTGTGATAGCTACTAAGTGATTAACGGGTAGGTAGCATATACAACGTGGAGACACTGGACAAAGGGATGAGTCACATCCTGGGCAGGATGGCACCGGATGGCATGAGATTTCATCACACTACTCAGAATGGCAAGCAATTTAAAACTTATAATTATTTCTGGAACTTTCCATTTAATATTTTCAGATCACAGTTGACTGGAGATAACTGTAATCCAGAAAAGTGAAACCTCGGATAAGGGGGAACTGTTGTATTGGTGAAAAAGGTTGTTTCCAACTTTTTGCCATCACAAACAATGCTGCTAGTAGTACATAGGGTAATGTGTTAGTTGTCTGTTGCTGTGGAGAAAATTTCCTCAAATCTTGGAGCCTTAAAAAAACAGACATTTGTTACTTTGTACTAGTAAGTGCGGCCTAGCTGGGTGCATCTGGCTCAAGGTCACCAAGGTTGAAGTTAAGCCATCAGCCAGGACAGTGGTCTTATCTGAAGGCTGTGGAGGGAGTTACTTCCAAGCTCACTGACATGGTTGCTGGGAGGCCTCAGTTCCTCACCAGGCAAGCCTCTCCTTAGACTGCCTGATTGTACTCACTACATGGTGATGAGAGACAGAAGCAGAGAGGAGGAGGGGAAGTCTCCCAAGATGGAAGCCATGGTCTTTTTATAACCTAATCTCAGAATTGCTCTCTTATACTTCTGCCATTTTCTCTTTGCTAGAAGTGAATCTTAGCTGTCCAGCCCACACTCAAGGTGGGGGACTTATATAGGACCTGAAAAGGAGGAGGTGGGATTATTGGGGCCTCTTCTAGGCTGCAAAACACAGATAGAGTCCTAGAAATCAAATTTCTGGCTCAAAGGCTTAAAATTTTAAATGTGCATACATATTATCAAATTGCTTCCTGGAAAGTTTGTATCAATTTACATTCCCACCAAACGTGTAGGAAAATCCTTCTAAGTAAAAGATATGAATGATCTTTTACATTTTTGCCAACATAATAGGTAGAAAATGGTATTATTAGAGTTCTTTGTTGTTCTTATTTCATTACTAGGGAGTTGGAGTATCTTTTCATATACTTATTAGCAATTGGTATTTTTCTTCCCTAATTGCACATTCATGTCATTTTTTAAAATATATATCAGGTTGTTGGGTATCTTGTACAAAACTTCCCCCTTAACACTGGAAATGTTTCCAGATGAATTTGGTAGGCGTTCCTCACATTTTGGCATCAAGAAACACTAATACCAACATTACAAAAATTCTAAGAATCTGTTATGTTTTTTATCAAATAACACCTCACTTTCAAAAGTATCTCAGAAGTTATAATGCAATAATAAAAAGGCAAATAACCTAACTAAAAAACAGGTGGAGGATTTGAATAGACATTTTTCCAAAGACGATATAAAATGGCCAATAAGCACTTGAAAAGGTGCTCAAAATTATTAATCATTGGGGAAATCCAAGTCAAACAACTTGAAATCTGTGAATTGTGTAGTAGGTTAATTATATCTTAATAAATCTGTTTTTAAAAAGGGAGCACAGAATGAAAAAGCACTGGGATGTCAAGACAACCTTGAAAGTAATAATTAGTAATCAGGTCAAGTAACAAAGGGACAGAGAATATAGGCAGCAGGCTGCTTGTAAACTTCTACCTCTCAGCTGGGTCTCCAGCACTTACCCCAATTGATTAGAACGGCTCTGTTTTCTACTATTTCCCTTAGGAGTGTGATCCCAGGCCAATTAAAGAAATTGTTACATAAAAAAGAACCAAAATCATTTTATTCTAGTGTTTGGTTTATCCTGCAGCTTTCACATGCTTTACTAAGAATGCATCTTACTATTCTCTTGGCCTTTAAATGAAGTTACAGTTTCAAAATATACTAAAATATAGCAGCTCATAGAAAAGAAGGAAGAAAAATTTACATTTTGAATAAATTTTTCTAAATCTAGGCCAAATAACCTATTTCTAGATTAAAGATTTGAGTGCCGCCCTAGCTGGTTTGGCTCAGTGGATAGAGCTCTGGCCTGCGGACTGAAGGGTCCCAGTTTCAATTCCGGTCAAGGGCACATGCCCAGGTTGTGGGCTCGATCCCTAAGGCGGGGGAGACATGTGGGAGGCAGCCAGATGATCAGTGATTCTCTCTCATCATTGATGTTTCTCTCTCTCTCTCCCTCTCCCTTCCTCTCTGAAATCAATAAAAATATATTTTTAAAAAAGATTTGAATCCCATTAGAAAGCTGTTTGTTTACTTTCCAAAGGATGTAATATTTTTTTATTACATTTCCCAGAGTGCTTGCTGAGGCAATTGTTCTTTTCACATCAAGTCAAGAGGAAGTTACTCTTGCAGTTACTCCACTGGAAGTTTGCATTAAGAGTTCTACTGAGGAATCAATGGGTATGGATTATATCTGTCATAGTGCTTTAATGTAATATCACTTCGTGGTTTTTCTTGATGACTAACCATGCAGTAAATATTAGTGGCATAATATTTATTTTTGTTTAAAAAGCAGTAAGATCTAGAAGATCATTAAAATGTTTAAGAGAGCCCTAGCCAGTTTGGCTCAGTGGATAGAGCATCGGCCTGTGAACTGAAAGGTCCCAGGTTCGATTCCAGTCAAGGGCACATGCCCGAGTTGTGGGCTCAATCCCCAGGGGGGGACTTGCAGTAGGCAGCCAATTCATGATTCTCTCTCATCATGGATGTTTCTCTCTTTCTCTCCCTCTTCCTTCCTCTCTGAAATCAATAAAAATATATAAAATAATAAAATAAAATAAAATGTTTAAGAGATCCAGGATATTTACACCATCAGTAATTTAAGTGCTTAGCTTTGAAATTCCAGTTGTTTTAAAATTAGGAGAATGGTTACTGAGAAAATTTTAAAGTTAAGATTTTAAAGTTTTTCTCATCCTTTATTATACTTTGTGTTTAGCATGAAGAAAAATTAAGAGGCCAGCAATCCAATTGAGATGACCTTTGACTACATAAGAAAAAGTATATTTGAATTGGAAATGTAAGATATTCCAGGCAGCAAATGTATAGGGCAGAAAATGTGAATACTTCTTAAGTCAGCTCTTCCAAGAGTTATCTAGATGGAATGGAGAAACTAAGGCACTATCAAACCAGGAGTTTTGGTATCAGGAAAATTTATGGGGTCTTTTTGGCACAAGTTGTTTGAGACTCTTTGACCTTGGATACTTTTTTTTGGTGATAGCAGTAAAGAAAGAATACAAAGGGAGGAACTGTATTATTTTAAAGTGAAAAACCAGTAGAACCGGGGATTAAGTTGTGTCAGATGACTTTTGTAGTATTTGGTTTATGCCAGGTTCTGTTCTAAATGGTTTTCATTTCTGAATTCATTTGATCTTTGTAACAACTCTGTGAAGTAGGTACTATTATGATCCCTCTTTTCCATCTGAAGAATATGAAGCACAGAGAAACTAAGTGACTTGCTGGTGTCACATAGTACGTGGTACCTGGTGACCTGAGCACAGGGCACAAACTCATTTGTGCTATTATTGCTTCTCTCAGATCTCCTCTACGTTCTTTCTTGGCACTCAGGAGTGCATGATCTGGGAAATATACACTTGATTAGTGAAGGGGTCTGGTTTATATTCCATAATGCCATCTCTGAATAAAGATGGTCATTTAATAACCAGGAGACACAGTCTCTTATGAACAACTTTCTAATGAGTAGTTCTAGTTATGTTTGACTAGGGACCCAACTGTTTAATTCTATTATTGAACTTACTCTATGCTAACACCCTGGAGTGACATGAGCCTTCTTGTTTGAGATTAATGTATTTGTAAGGTATTGTTTGGCCCTTTAAAAAAATGTATACTGCCCTGACCGGTTTGGCTCAGTGGATAGAGAGTCGGCCTGCAGACTCAAGGGTCCTGGGTTCGATTCCGGTCAAGGGCATGTACCTTGTTTGCGGGCACATAACCAGTGGGGAGTGTGCAGGAGGCAGCTGATCGATGGCTCTCTCTCATCGATGTTTCTGACTCTACCCCTCACCCTTCCTCTCTGTAAGAAATCAATAAAATATATATTTAAAAAAATGTATACCATTTATTCTTTGTTCTTATACTTACATAATTTATGTTCATTGAAGAAAATAATTTTTAAAAAGCACTAATATAAAAGTCATCTGAAATCCCACTATCCAGAGATGAGCACTTTTAATACCTGTTTCTATATTTCAGATCTAATAGGAGATGGGTTGTGTGAAAGTAATGAAATGCCTTGAAGCTATTAAAAGTAATCTCAAATTGTGTATACACACTCCTCTCTCTCTGAGAGTGTATATCAAAGATACTTATTGAAGCTAATTTTGTGGAAAACACAAGTGAAAAACAGGCAATGGATTTGAACAGACATTGACATGGCTTGTAATTGATGCTGGGAACTCAGCTGGATTGTTGTCCAGAGTCCTTGCACATTATGTGGCTTCTTCATGTATGAAAGCATGAAGTCAGCATGGTGGCTGAGTTCCAAGAGCAAGTGTTGCAGATAGAGGAAGTGGATAGAGGATAGATGGGGAGGCTACTAGTTGCTAAAGGTCTGGGCCCAGAAACCAGCACCAAATCACTTCATCATGTCCTATTGGTCAAAGTAGTCAGAGAGCCAGCCCACCCAGATTCTAGGATAGGGGAAGTAGACATAGAACCCCTCTCTCAATGAAGGAATGTCACGGAATTTATGGCTATGTTTAACTTACCACGTAGGTTATATTTTTATATTCAAACTTAACAAATATCTCTAGAACTAATTTTATTCATTTTCCTACAATATTGAACAGATTTGAACAGTTCTGTATACAGTGAAATGTTTGTGGGTCCACATGAGTTTGAGTTCTTTCAAATTGGAGTTGACACTGAAATAACATTTTGCTGCAAAGAATTGAAGGTAAAGAAAAATTTGTACAAAATTAAAATTTTCACTGATAGTTTTTAAGAAATATTTCATTTTTCTTCTTTTTCTTTCAGGGAATGCTGTTATTTTCGGAAGCTACACATGCTCCTATAACCATGCATTTTGATTTTCCTGGAAAGTAGGTCCTTAGGGAACTTTTCTGAGTTTGTTTCTTTTTCTTTTGTTATATGTTAATAAAACTATTTTAATCACTTTGAAATTAATTCGTACCTCAGGAATTCCTTAACCTCGCTAGCAATACTTATCAAACTAAATTTTAAAAGATGCCATAACATAGTATTTTTTAATTGGTAACTTGATTGAGAAAGATATATGCTTCAACAGAGTGAAAACATTTATAAATTTGATAGGAATAAATTGCCTAATTAGAAAATAATACATGGCTGAAATCTCTGTGAAACTATGATACTTTATTTTTTTTAATATATTTTATTGATTTTTTTACAAAGAGGAAGGGAGAGGGATAGAGAGTTAGAAACATCGATGTTGAAGATGAGAGAGAAACATCGATCAGCGGCCTCCTGCACACCCCGTACTGGGGATGTGCCTGCAACCAAGGTACATGGCCTTGACCAGAATCAAACCTGGGACCCTTCAGTCCACAGGCCAACACTCTATCAACCCAGCCAAACAGGTTAGGGCAAAACTATGATACTTTATATGATACTCCAGCACTGAACTTTCAAATGACAATGGGTTTGGATAGCTGTTTTATAAAATTAGATCTGATGATTTCAGCTCTTAGCACTGTGTTAATCAGTGAGAAGACTAAAAGGACTTCTACTTTTACTGTTTCTTTTTATTCCTGAATTAGATATAATTTTTCATATTTTCCCAATGTCCATCAGAAAATGATTGTGATGTTTGCTCTGACTTTGCCTTTTTAGACCTATGTCTTTAAGTATTGACCATATGTTATTGGAAGCTAACTTTGTTTTGGCTACATTAGCTGATGAGCCAAGTAGAGCATCTTCTCCGCAATCACTGTGTCTGTCACAAAAACGAAAAAGGTAAGGTCATGGTTTTTGTTTGTTTGTTTGTTTTTTAAATATATTTTATTGATTTTTTACAGAGAGGAAGGGAGAGGGATAGAGAGCTAGAAACATCGATGAGAGAGAAACATCCATCAGCTGCCTCCTGCACACTCCCCTCCCCCCAGGGGATGTGCCTGCAGCCAAGACACACGTCCCTGACCGGAATCGAACCTGGGACCCCTCAGTCCAAAGGCCGACGCTCTATCCACTGAGCCAAACCGGCCAGGACAAGGTCATGTTTTAACATCTTTATTGGCTGGGAAAAAGCCATTGCCATTTACTCTGAAATAATTCAGGAAACAATTGAGGAGTAAAATATTCAATCGGAAATTTTGACCGAATCAGGAAGACTTCACTGTAACAGGAATATCACTTCTTGCTCTGCATATTTGCTTTTCCTCTTCTGGTCAGAATTTACCAAGACTCTCTAATTTATCTTTGTTATTACCCAAAACTCATTTTCATTTGTAATAGTTGCTTTTCAGGAGTGATAGGGTGTTAAGGTGCACAGGAAAGTCTATTCCTACCTAAAACTCTCTTTCTCATAGGGACAGCCATTGTTTTTCTTTCCTTTTTTCCCCCTTTGGTCTCTTAATAACTTTCTTTTGGTGTTGGTGAGGGTGCTTCAACTGTAAAAACAACATAAAGTTCCTATGGGAAATTTGGAAAATACATGAAAATACAAAGAAAAAAACAACCATCACCCACAATTACACTACCTAGAGATAGCCACTGTTAACATTTGGCTCACCATATTTCCTTTCAGACTTATTTCGCATATACTTGTGTTTTTAAACAAGATTGAGATCATATAGCGTATGTAGTTTTGTGTCCTGTTTTTCACCCCAAATATATTATATTGTGAACATGTCCCAATGTCATGACTTGGAAACATGATTTTTAAGACTATACATTTCGTTGTACAGATATATAGTAATTTGACTCTTTTTTTAACTTGGTCCTGTTACCATTTCACAATAGCAAATTATTAATACCTCAGGTCATGCACAGTAGGTTAAGAAAAATTCAAATCTGTAGAGAGAATTTCTAAATAATCATATATGTAAATCTTAACTTTGAAAACAGTTCCATATTATTTCAGTATATTCCCTAAACCATGGTATCATTGTCATCCCATATTGCTCCATTAGTTATATAAAAACTGGAGGCCCAGTGCACAAATTTGTGCACAGGTGGGGTCCCTCTGCCTGGCTGGCGATTGGGGGGCTGGCCAGGGGGAGGGACCCCAGGAGGTTGGCTGGCTGGCCTGCCAATCGGGGCTTATGGGGGGTGGGACACCTGGAGGGAGGGGCTGTGGGAGGTTGGCCAGCCACGGGAGGTTGGCTATGGGAGTGCAATGGCCACCAGGGAGTAGCTCCTGCATTGAGCGTCTGCCCCCTGGTGGTAAGTGCGCATCATAGCGACTGGTTGACCAGTCATTCCAGTCATAATGGTAGCTTAGGCTTTCATATATATGTGTGTATATATATATTTATCTCAAAGTAAATATTCATTTAATTTATATTAATACCTCAGGTCAGATCTGCCATGTTCAAATTCAAAGGTTGGTAAAAAAGATAGCAAGGCCATGGAGTCTATCTCAAGCAAAGTAGCACCCAGGAAACTTTATGCTGATGAGATTCTCTCAAACATCTCTGCGTTGGAAAACTCTGGCAGTCCTATAATGAAAAGAGTGAATAGTGACACAGAGGAAGAGCCAGGGTCTCCATCTCTCAGGAAGGTAAAAGAAAAATGTTGAGACACAACCATGTCTCAGTCAAGAATTCTCATCATCTGTTACCCTTTTGCAGTCTCCCTGCTCCAGCCCACCCTCAATATCCTGAAGATAAATAAATTTCTTACTTTTTGACAGTAGAGAGGTGAAACCAATCTGCTATGGAGAAAAGACTGATTTATTTTATAGACCGTTAATACAATTCTTTTTTTATGAGGTTGTTGTTGTTTTGCTTAATCCCTTCACCAGAGTAATTTCTAACATAGTATATTCAAGTAAGGATTTGGATCACTTGTTTTAAAGAATAAATTATGATCGTGTATAGCATACATATCTTTGAATACAAATAATACGCTAGTCTATAGTTTGTTTTCTAAAATAAATGTTCTTCTCATTTTCAAATCTGTTTGGAAAATCATTTATTCATAGTGATACAATATAACTTTTATCCCCAAAACATCACAAGTTCCTTCATAGCAACATATCAAAATACCAACATTTTACTAGATTGATGATAAGCTTCACAGAATGCTAACATTAAACTTTATGAAATCTACTGAGGATAAACACAATTTATTAGAAACAGAAATATCTCAAATAATGAGTTTCAATTTTACATTTACATTAATATTTTATTCAAGCCTGTTTTGCTATTGCTGCTATTATTGATTTGGGAATATGAGTTTCTTACTTAGAATTAGAAATCTAGGAGGAGAAATATTGTTTCTAAAAGTCACTATCTCAAGCTGTATAAAAGACTTTTTAGGACAGTAAAATTGGATGGGGGATGTTGGGTGGATGTGTGGTGTGTGCAAAGCCCTGTGATGGGGGAAACATGGTGGCTTTAAGGAACTGAGGGCTGGCCAGTGTGGTTAGAGAGTAGCAGCCAGGGGGAAACAATGGCACACGGTGAAGCTCGTGCTGAGGTTGAGAAACCCTGTTGCAAAGGCTGCTGAAAAGTCTAAGAGCGACCAGGAGAGTATGGCATGAGGAAGGTACAAGAAGAAAGTGTCTAAGTAGGAAGTGGGATGAAGACTGAAAATGGCCATTGGCTTAAGGATGTGAGGATTTTTGGTAACCATAATAAGAGTTTCTATGAAATGGTGATGTCAGGAGCTTTCAGATAGGACTAAATAGAATAAGAAAATGGAGACAGCAAGTGTAGACAACTATAGCAGAGGTAAGGTGGGGAGGGAGGAACAGGATGAGACTTTTTATATATTTTAAGGATTAGAGACATTATTTTAAAATGCTTATATTCCTATCCAGTAGAGGGGAGGCTGTGAGGCAGTAGGGAGGAAAGGATGGGCATTAGCTGGGAAAAGGGGTGCACTTCTGTCACAGGAGGAGAGAAAGGAGAAGATGGGAGTCAAGCAGAATTGCCTGCAGAATCTGCCTTTGTCCTCTGTCTCCTACAACGCTGGTGTTAGTGTAAATGGCTCAGGTAGGGGAGTCAGAAGCAGATTACTGACCCCAAACTGTGTGCCTTTGGGGGAAGGATTCTATTTTAGAGAATGCATTGGTCCAGTTGTGAAGGTTCTGGGTGTTTCATGAACCATCGCCATCAAAGTTAGGGTGACCACATTGGCCAAGTTTTTGAAAAGGGGCCATTCCCTGGAGCACTTACTGAGAACTTTTACTTTGAATAAACAGTACAGTTACTTTCCCCCCTCCAGTTTTCTTGCTTGTTCTTTGGGGCAGTTTCTTCTGACTAGCGAGAACACTGCAACAACCCTTTCAACAGTCTGGCAACAGCAAGTGATAGTGAAGAGGACATGAATAATGGCAGTTTTTACATATTCTAACATTTAATGACGGCTGAGTTACCCCACCCCCCACCCCATTTACTGACACACCTCAAACACATTTCACACTTAGTCTATATTGTCTTGGACTCCCTTGAAAAGCAGGATGGACTTCTGCTTTTCTAAACATCTTCATCTCATACCACAACCATATGTAGAAATAACTGCTTGTTAACTATATGTAATTTGCTTTAAATCCATTATATGACTTGGAAAGCAGAAGTTTTCTGTGCAGGAAAAAGGCTCATTAGAATTTTTTTTTTGCGCCCCGCCTCCTGCCCCCAAAGATGTGCAAGTCCTAATAGCCAGAACCGCTCATTAGAATTCTTCACTGCATGTTCACATTAGAGCTTTTAGCATTTTCTTCGCCAGTTTTATAAAGGTATTTATTTTTTTATTTATTTAAATATGTTTTATTGATTTTTTATAGAGAGGAAGGGAGAGGGATAGAGAATTAGAAACATCAATGAGAGAAACATCGATCAGCTGCCTGCTGCACTCTCCCCACTGGGGATGTGCCTGCAACCAAGGTACATGCCCTTGACCGGAATCGAACCTGGGACCCTTCAGTCCGCAGGCTGACGCTCTATCCACTGAACTAAACCGGTTAGGGCTATTTATTTTTAAAATATATTTGTATTGATTTCTGAGAGGAAGGGAGAGAGACAGAAACATCAATGATGAAAGAGAATCATTGATCGGCTGCCTCCTGCACGTCCCACAGATAGAGCCCGCAGTCCAGGCATGTGCCTGATAGGGAATAGAACTATAACCTCCTGGTTCATAGGTCAATGCTCAACCACTGAGCCATGCTGGCTAGGCTATAAAGGTATTTAAACGTTCTTCAGCAGTCATTTGGAGTGCACCAATACTGCTTGTAGAGTTTCGTGACTAATAGGTATTTTTGTATTTGATTGCAAACATTTGAATTTTGGTGCTTTCAGACATAGTTATGCAGTCTTTTCTTGTGTAGTGCCATGATGTTTTTGGTCACTGCTTTTTATATTGTTAAGATTTTAAGCAAAATCCCTGTGGGAGGAAGTCAAGAATAAAAATACTAGGTGTACCGGTTAATAATGTGGATTTTTTTAATAGATGGAGTTACCCATATGTTGATATATGCAATTTGATATGTATCCTGTTTTGTTGTATTGACAAGCTTCAAAACTTCATATGTCAAATTTTCTGAAGGGGTTAACATAATAGATATTTTTATGCTTAAAAATG